AATTTTTCATACCATTTCTTGCTTGCTTGTTTGAGACCATATATACTTTTAAGAAGTTTACAAGCTTGATTAGGTTTGGTAGATGAAATACTATTTAGAATAGTCATATAAACTTCTTCTTGTAATTCTCCATGCAAAAATACATTATTTACATCTAATTAATGCAAATTCCAAGAATTAATTGAACCAAGAGCAAGTAATGTTCTAACTGTAGTGAGTTTTGCAACCGATGAAAAGGTATAAAAAAATCAATGCCTTCAATTTAATTATACCTTTTTGCAACCAACCATGCTTTATACCTTTCAATAGAGCCATTTTCTCTATTTTTAACTTTATATACCCACTTACTACCAATAGGCTTCACATGAGGTGGAAAATCTACTAGAATCCAAGTGTCATTTTTATCTAATCCATCTAATTCAAATTCCATAGCTATTTGCCAATAATCATACTGACTTACTTCTTTAAAAGATTTTGGCTTTGTGCAGTGTATGATAGAAGAAGAAAAAACTTGATGTGAAGGTGATAAATGTGAAAAAGAATGATAAGAGCTGATAGAGTAAGGAGTACCCGAAGCCTATGATTTTGTTGAACCATTAAAGCATTGCACACATAATCTTCAAGATAAGGTGGTGGATGCTTTTGCCTAATAGGTTAATGTTCCGGGGTAGCTGATAGTGGAGCAGAATCTGGTGGTATTATGTCATTAGGTGGGTGGATAATTGGAACATCATCATCAAGTGTTCTGCCATGAGAATGATATTTCCAATTGGAAGGTTTTTAAATTGGATTATATGGCAAAATGTGTTCATGGTGTGTGGTATTTATAGAAACAAAGATTTCCTTATTGTTTAGATTAAAAAGTATATATCCTTTCGTGCCAATTTTAAAGCCTAGGAACACACATTTTCTACCTCTAGGATCCAATTTTGTTCTATGTGAATGTAAAGTAGATGCATAAACTAAAGATCCAAACACTTTTAAAATTTTTCAAATCAGGTAGCTTATCATGCATCAAAAAATATGGTGATTTATTTTCAAGAAGAGCACTAGAGACACGGTTTATGATAAAAACAACATGTGATACAGGATAACACCAAAATTGTTTCGGTAAATTTAAATGAAACAACAAAAGACCTAGCTACATTTAATATATGTTGATGTTTTCTTTCTACACTTCCATTTTGTTGTGGAGATTGTACACAACTTTTTTGATGAATAATTCCTTTGGAAGAATAGAAAGAAGGCATAAAAAATTATAGTCCATTATCAGCTCTTATGGTTTTAATAAGGGTGTTATGTTATGTTTCAATTATCTGGATAAAATTCATGACATGTTGACTAACTCCAGCCTTAGATATCATAAGAGTAACCCAAGTATATCTATTGACGTCGTCAACAACAATAAGAAAATAAGAAAAATCATGAACAAATTTAATAGCAAGAGGACCCTATATATCAAAGTGAATTAAATCAAAAGGTTTCATGGCTTTATTAAAACTCCTTTGATATGATTTTTTTTTTTTTTGCAAAATGGCATACATCATAAACTCCTTCTTGATCTATAACAATATAGGGAAAATTAGAATGTAGCAAAGTCATTTTAGAGTTAGAGAGGTGGCCTAGTCTAAAATGCCATAAGGCATTTTCTGGTATGATGATAGCCGAGTTGCGAGGGGGAGCAGATACATTATGAATCTTATCTAGCAGAACCAAGTGATACAATCCTTCAATGAGTTCAGAAGAACCAATCGTCTTCAATGATCGAGGATCCTGAACAAGGCATTGTGAATTAGTGAAACTAACAAGGCAAGGTAAAGCATAACATAGTTTGGCAACTGAAATTAGATTCAAAGAAAAATTAGGAACATAAAGGAGATTTGTTAAGAAGAAACTTTGAGAAAAATAAATTGTGCCAATTTGTTTTGCTATGGAAAAATTACCATTAGGTAATCTAATAGAAATAGGACTAATATCATGAAGAGAATGAAACCAATGGGATGAACCACAAATATGATCGTTAGCTCCTGATCGATGATCCAAGAACTAAGAGTTGTGTTATTAACACAATAAAGAAAAATAGAAATATTACCTTTGTCATCGACTGATGGATGATCAGTTGATTGAAATGAGCTCACCTAATTATAAGCATGTGCAGTAGATTGTTTACCAATACTAGAAGCATGAACTAGAGACATATGAGTATTATACTGCTCATGTGTAAGGGTTGGCGGTGCAGAACTTTCTGCAGTAGCATTATGAGCTGCATAATTTGAACTTTTCTTTTGTAAATGAGGTGGAACTCCATGCTTGCGATAACAAGTATCAACAGTATGACCTGATTTGTCACAAAAAGTACAAACCCTCTGCCCAGGTTTAGAACCAGTCTTATTATTTCTAAAACTTGATCTCCTATTTTTAGTAGCATTAACAAGGACTTTTGAGTCATCATTAACTGAAACATGATGAACAATTTGACGTTCATGCTGAATAATCATTGAGAAAATTTTATTCAAGCCATGTAAAGAATCTAATAGCATAATTTGTGACTTAACAACACTGGATTTTTCATTAAGACCAGTCAAAAAACGAATCACATAGAATAAATTATGATTATATCTAGCGGTACACATAGCTTCGCAAGAATAACGGACACGACAAGTACATATAGGTATTGGCATATATATTTCTAAATCTTCCCACAAAATCTTAAGATCAGAGAAAAATTCTGTTACCGTTCGATGCTCTTGCTTGAGAGCATAAATTTCTTGTTGCAATTGTGATACACGTACTAAATCACCTTGAGAGAAGCGTTCTTTCAGATCATTCCAAACATCAACCGCATTTTCCATAAATACAATGGATTAACTAATTGATTCAGCGACAGAATTCATGATCCATGAGTGCATGAGCATATTGCAACGCGTCCAAGAACGAAATGTTGGATCGAATTGATCTGTATGAACCGTAATAAAACCATCAACGAGATCATATTTCATTTTTCCACCCAAAGGCCTACGCATAGACCGGACCCAACTATGATAATTGGAACCGGTAAGTAGAGGAGTAATTGAAAATGAGGTTGAACCATTGCTTAGATGGACATAATAGGGACTTGATGGATAAATAAATGGAACACCCTGATCATTAGATGATGAAGTATTGTTACCACGTGCCATGGATCTGATTGGCTCTGATACCATATAAAAATAAGTAAAAGATGAAAAAGGATAACCAATTAGTTTTCCAATAATTGAATTCAATTATTCTCAATATTGAAGCCATAATATATATATATATATGAGTTTTTGTGTAGTTGAGGGACTAGAAAACCATCTCTTAGTAAGATTGCCATTAGTGTTAAGTCTATTGTGTAAGATTCTACAAATAAGAATTGGTTTTAAATGATAAATACTATGATTCTAAGTTAGAATACTTGTCCCAATGCAATCCCAAACTCTTCTATCCTCAACAAAACCCAAAGGAATCTCACAATTAGATATAATTCTAAGCAGATCAAGAAAAGACAACAAAATTTTTTACGACTATATTAACACACCTTATCAATGAAATTACTAACCATAGAAATGAGAAAGTTATGATATTTACTTGGAATATTAAACTTATGAACTAAAGAGATGTCACACCAATTGTCTAATTAAAAATTTATATATTTATCATTGATTATGATCAAAGTGGAGTTTTCAATGATTGTCTTATATTGGCTTTTTAAACAAACTCCAGATGGAAGAGAATATATGATGACAGATGATTAGACGAATTCTTAAGACTCTATATTTAAGAAGAAAATCCCAATTATCCTCTCTCTAAAGCATATCACAACATAATATCATATTTGAAACTTCATTTAAAGAAACCAAAGATCTCAGCCCAAGACTGCCATCATTTGCAGACCTGCAACACTTGCTCCAAGCCACTATAACCAACAACCATTTATCTATATCCCCACTTCATATGAAGTTTATGATCCATGACTCTAAAATTTTAAGCAGAATCATAGACTAGAATACAATAAATAAGCATGCTATGAAAATAAGTAAAAGATGAAAATGATAACCAATTAGGTTTCCAATAATTGAATTGAATTATTCTCAATATTGAAATCGTACAATGAAAGACATATATATATATTGGAATTGTCATTAATTAGTAGTAACAAAAAAAGAAAAATAATAGCTACTGATAACAGCAAAATAATTAGTAGTAAAGTAGATGCATAATTTTAAGCATAATAACAGCAACCGATGCACACTTTTAAGCATATGATGAAGCATTTTTTATCATTGTGAAAACATTTCTCAAAATGAAGCTTAAACTTCAATAAAGTCTTTTTATTTCAATAACTTGGCTATTCAAATATTAACTCTTTCTAGAAATTTATCGGATCTACCCCTTTTCCTTATTTGCTCAAGGGTTTGAAAGGTCCTTTTTTCCAATTTTTCTAGTTTTCCCAATAGTCTTTTTGGTTTCTTCTCTTTTCAGTGGCAGTTTGTCAAATCTTGCTGCTTTCATTTCCAGTTGCGGGTTTTGGGTGTTGTTTTTTTTGAGTTTTGGAGTTTCCAGTTTGCCTGTGGAGAAATAGAAGGAAATACTGTTGTCAAAGGAGGAGCAGGAAGGGGTCCCGAAGGAGGTGGAGGAGATTTGTGGGGAGGAGACTTTTCAGAGAACGTTAGTGGGGAAGCTTTGGACAGATAACAACTTCAGTGCTAGGGCTTTTACAAGCACAATTATTGCAGCATGGAAATTGAAAAACCTGGTGGAGACTCAAGAACTTAGCAAGAATCTCTTACTTTTTTGTTTTGCTTCCAAAAGAGATTTGGTGTGGGTGTTGCGTAATGGTCCATGGAGTTTTAAAGGAACCTCTTTGTTCCAGATCGAGTCTCATGGGAGGAACAATCATTGGAGCTAAACATGCACTTTGAGGTTTTCTGGGTTAGGATCTATGAGCTTGCTCTTATGCTCAGATCTGAAGCAAAGCGATGAAACTGGGTGGCATTCTTGGAGTTTTAGAGGATTTGGACCAAAAGGAAGCTCATAGGAATAGAAGAATCTTAAGAGTTAAAGTTACGATTGATTTAAAGTAGCCTTTGAAGAGAGGTACTATGGTTCGGTTCAAGGATAAAAATTTGCGGGTACACTTCAAATATGAGATACTTCCAACCTTCTACTTCACCTAAGGAAGACTAGGTCATCAACTCAAGGATTGTGAGGTGGTTGGGGACCTCAGTGAAGAAGGGTTTGAAGATTTGGAGGAGCAAGATATTTCCTTCCGTTTCTGGTTACGAGCCTCACCATTACCTAGAAGTCAAGAAGAGCAGAAGAAGAAGGAATCTACTTCTAGCTCCTGTTTGGAGAGTTTGTTTAACATTTCCTCAGGACAGAGCAAATGTGATGCTAGAGACAAGAATAAAGAAGGATATGTGGAAGTAGAACAATGTAGGGGCACTTCAACTGGTAATTTGCAGGTTGAGTTCCCACAAACTATTGAAGTACCAACTGGGATTAAAAATGTTTTAGAGATTGAAGTTGTTGCTGAATCCATCGGTGCAGTTGATATCTCAAATACGGGCAAAGGTAAAGGGGGATCTGTCAAGGGAGCTAGTGTTACGCAAAATAAGTGGATAAGAAGAAAAAATATCAGGAAAGTTAATCTTAGTCAGAAGCAGAAGCTGGAGATTGATATTGGCAACAGGCAATCGGTCGATGTTATGATAGTTGAAGATTTTGTTGAGAGAGATGGTAGTGGAGAAAAGCAAATGAGTCAAGTGGGAGGGGAGGCAATTCCTAACTCAGAACCATAGGTGGTGTTGGAACGGTAGGGGTTGGGGAATCCCTGTGCAGTTTGAGCGTTATTAAGGCTCATTCGTATTGAAAATCTCGATTTGGTTTTTATCATGGAATTGAGGCTCAAGGCTGGAGAAGTGGAGTCTATCAAATTCAAAATTAGTTAAGGGGGGTGTCATGTGATGGATTATAGGGGTGTTGGTAGGGAGAGGGCAGGCGGAATTTTTCTTCTTTGGAAGGAAAGTTTTCAAATCAACATTGTTTCCTTCTCTCTCAATCATATTGGAGTAACTTTTCTTGATGAATGTGACAATTAGTTGTGGTCTTTTTTTGGTATATACGGCTTCCTAAAGGATCATAATAAAAGGAGAACTTAGAGGTTAATCTAGGAGGCCGTGCAGAGTGTTGGTAACAATTTCAGCTGCTTTAGGGATTTGAACGATATTCTGTTTGACAACGAGAAGAAGGGAGGCACGGATAGATCCACGAGGAAATTATCTCAGAGGCATTAAACTATGAATACTTGTGTCCTAATTTACTTAGGATTTGAGGGTAACCCTTTTACCTAGACTAATGGGAGGGAAGGATCTGAAAATGTGCAGTGTAGACTGGATAGATGTTTGGGCTTCAGAAAGTTTCATAGCCAAGTTTGCGCCTATTAGGGTGAGTCATCTCCCGTTACGGTTCTGAACATGCGACCATTATATTTGCTTTGGAATATGATTCAGTCAATAGAGATAGGAGAAGGAGGCACATCTTAAGGTTTGAAGAAGTGTGGAGTAAGGTTCTCCAGTGTGACAAGTTTGTTGCTCAATTATGGAATAATCCTGCCTTGCGGGGTTTTAACCAATTTGAAGCGATGCAGGGCCTTGGGGAATTCTTTTAGGAGTATACAATAGGGACCGTGAGCAAGGAGTTAAGGAGAATTGAAGAACTCTTGAAGGAGGATAATTGTTGGGCTGATGGTAGTGATGAGTTCAACCCGAGTAGAGCTTTGGAGAGTCTAAGGGATAAGTTGCTCATGTGGAGGAGGTTATGTGGAGACAATAGAGCAAGGCTTTATGGCTTAAACACGGGGAAAAGAACACAAAATGCTTCCATGGTAAGGCTATTCAAAGGAGACATACAAATTCTATAAAGAGGCTCAAAGACGAAAACGGGTTTTGGTGGAAAGGAGAGGAGCATTGCGAGCGATTACTGTTTAATTAATTTTCACATCTTTTCTCATGCTCTAATCCTTCAAATTTGGAGGATGTTTATTCTGTTCTGGAAGGTAAGTTGAAACATGACCAAATTGATTGGTGTGCTGCAAGATTCACACCTGAGTAGGTTAAAGAGGCTTTTTTTTAGATGAACCCTCTCAAGCTCTGGGTCCGGATGTTTTACCAACATTTTTCTTCCAAAACTATTGGCATATTGTTGGCCCCAAGGTGATTAAAATGGTTCTGGATACTCTAAATAACAACAAAAGCCCAAGTTTGATAAATGGAACCCATATTATTTTGATTCCCAAGTGTAAACATCCAGCAAGTCCCAAGGATTTTAGGCCTATAAGCACGTGTAACATGGTCATGAAAGTGGTTACCAAGGATATATCGAACAGAATCAAACCTATTCTTCCAAAGGTTGTTGATGATGAACAAAGTGCCTTTGTTCAAGACCGCCTCATTACCGATAATACTTTGGTTGCAATGGAGTGTTTCCATTGGATGAAGAAGAAGACCAAAGGCTAGAAAGGGTTTGTGGCCATTAAGTTGGACATGTCTAAAGCTTATGATAGGTTGGAATAGTCGTTTGTTATTAAAGTTATTTCTTCGATGGGTTTTTGAGTCTCTTGTTAACCTTATCAAGAATTGCATCCCTACCGTCTCCTACAAACACTAGAATAAATAACCTTTTTTATAAAGGAACTTACATCTCACCTCAAAAAAATTCAAAGTGTAAACCAAAGACGCGCCACTTTTTTTTTGGAAAATAATATCATATATTTCCTCGGTGTTACAGAAAACCGAGGGATAAAGTATTTAGAGGACATGCATTTAAATCCTAACAACTACATTTTATCGTATTTTAATTTTTTAGAATTTTTTTATGACCTATTACCTCACTTTTGTTGAAAGTTTAGAGGTAAAGTAGCTACAAGGACACGTCTTTGAATCCTAACAACTATATTTTATAACCTTTTAATTTTTTTATGAGCATTACCTTTGTTTTGTTGAAAATCGAGGGGTAAACTAGCACATTTTTTATTTTATTATTTTATTATTTATGACACATTTGATGAAAACTTAAGTAATGAATCTTAGTCGTTCATTTATAAAGTAACAATGGTCAATATATTGCCAGCTCATTAATCCACATAAAATATTAGTGATTTGCATGAAATTCTCACTAGTCAATTAAAATGTGGATGCCACAACTATTCATCTTGGATACAAGTGCTAAAAATTAAACTTAACATATTCCAAACAATGACAATGAAAGCAAGAGCAGGAAAATATTCAAAGGTTGGTTTCTTTATGTTTATTCTTTTCTCTAGTTAGGAAAGCGTGAAAGTAAATTGAAATCTGGTATGCAGATATCAGATTTCCTAAGAGATATCAAGACACTGATATATGATCAAAACACAATGACAATATGAAAACAAATACAATTACTGAAAGTAAAAAGAACACGTGCAAAGTTGTTAACCCAATTTGGTGTACAACAACACCTAAGTCTGGGGGCTACCAAGCCAGGGAGGAAGTCCACTAAATAGTATCAGTTTGTAGACCCACAACAAACTATCACCAATTTACAATATACTCACCTAATCACTACTTCTACTTAACTTCTACCTAAGACTCGGCTAGGTATGAGACCCTTCGTAATTCCCTTTCAATCACAATAGTGATGAAAAGTCTAATACTTAGAATGGTTCAGAAGTCACACTTCAAAGACACACAATGACTCAATACTTAAAAGCTTAAGAGTGATTAACAGAATTTACAACTCAATAGACACAATCTTACTCTTATACCAAGATGATATCATAGAGGCTCACAATAAACACACAAACCCTAAAACAATAATACACGTTCCACACAAAAATTATGTTTGTGATCTTCTATTTATAAAACAACTTCTAGACTGGATTTGAGCTTCAAAAATACAGCAAGATGTAACGCCCAATTTAAATACTTAACCATTGTTTGTTGAATTTGAATTGCTTTAAAATTTTATGGTGAAACTTAGTTTTGAGGGAAATACTGATGATAATGGAATTATGGGATAATATTGTTTTACTAATATTATAGTTATTATTAAGATTATTAATATTGTTATTAATATTATTACTAATATTATTATTAATATTAATATTGTTATTATTATTAGTTAAGTGTTAGTAATAAGAAAATACAATAGAATAGGGTTAGACCAATTGGGAGAAAGACTATTGTCACGTAGAAACAGAGAAGAAAAGAGAAGAGAAGAGAAGAGAGAACCAGGGAAAAGGAAAATTCTCCATTGTTAAGGCATCAAATCTACAAATTAAAGTAAGGGGTGAATAGGTTCTCTAAATTGGTGATATTAACACGAGAGGATAGTGAGAGTTTCTTTCCTTCTTTAGGTTTTTTATGAATGAATTGATGAATGCCTCCTTGGTCTGAATTTTGTTGTTTATATAATTGTTGTATGAAATTCGTGAACCCAATGATGTTATTAATGTGTTGTTGTTGTGATTCTGCTATTGTTGTGTTGTTTATAAAAAAATCCCAAATCTGGAAAATTGTAGATCTAGGGATGTGACAAAAATTGGAGGAATTGATGTAGAAATTGATGTAGAATTATAGAATAATGAAGTAGAATGAAATCCATAAGTTAATATGTGAAAGAATGCTATTTTGGACCCAAATTTGTAAGTTGAAAGTGCTCAAATGAGTGAAAAACATTCTGATGTGAAAACCGAGTTTTTTGGTCGCAGACTGCCATTACGCGTAAGGTAGGCAGCGTTACGTGTAATGCAGGCAGCATTACACGTAAGGCAGGAGCATTATGCGTAAGGCAGAACAGGACAAAAGGAAATACGCGTAGTGCATGCAGCATTACGCGTAAGGAAGGGCAGGACACAGGGCATTACTCGTAATGCAGGCAGCATTATCTGTATGGCAGGGCAAGAAGTAAGGCGATACGCATAACGCAAGTAGCATTATGCGTATGGGCAGGCGAAGGTGTAAAAAATCTCGTTTTCGCGATTTCTCCTTGTTTTCGCGTGTGGAGTGTATTTTCTCGATCCATAATGACTAGTAAGGCTTAGGTGGACATATGAAGGCTAGTAATAATAATAAATTAAGTTTAAAACATGGGATTTTATGTGGAATTTATGTTGTATGATGACGATGATGATGGTTTGTATTGACGAATGTTGAAGGCTTATGCCTTGTGGTTGTATAGTTATGTTGTTGCATATGATGTCACGTGTTGCATAGTGATAAGGGCCCATGCCTTGTTGTTGGGTTGTAATGGCTTTGTGATGAGGGTTTATGCCCTGTTATTGCCCAAATTGGCATATGTGAAGAGGATTTATGCCCTGATGGTACCACGTGTATTGAGTTGATGGCGGTCTCATTATATTATATTGTTTTGAGTTGATGTTGTATTACGTGAATGATGTGTTATGTTGTGAAGTGTTGTGTGATGTGTGAATTGTGTGGTTACTACTCCTTAGCATGTGATATTCTCCGTATATTATTGAATGAAATTCTCACCCCTTTTGTGTTGTGTTTGTGCTCTCCTGGGAGTACAGATAATTAGGTACTCGCGTAGTGCTTGGAGTGAGTGTTACTGGATTGAGTCCTAGGAGTCGCTCTGATACGTAACACGGGAATTGGGAATCTTTGTTATGTTTTGCTTTATTTCATTTGTTACTTATCTTCTATTTTACTTATGTTAGACCACACATTTGTGGAATTTTATTTGTTATTAAAGTTGTAATGACATGAAATTGAACTAACTTTATTATTTCGCTGCCGAATTGAGCATGTTTGAAATAAAGAAGTAATAATGTGACTTTAAACTTTATGAATATTTTAAGTATGTGACATCCTACTTATGTACTCTGATATATGTTAATGTAATTGCTATGGTAGGAAAGTGGGGTGTTACACAAGACAGCTGCTGAAAGTCTCCATAATTTCCTGCATAAAAATAGGTCTTCAATCAAGTGTTTCCTAAAATGTCTCCATATTTAGAAACACAAAATATCTTTGAATATCAAATAGAATCTCTGATTCCTCAATCTTGGACGCCACATAGGATAACATAATATTCCCAGAATATTCGAAATCTATTATAATCCAAATATATCCACGTACACAACTGTTAAAATGTAACAAACACAATGTCGAATCTTCTGGATAGGACATCTTGTTCAACATGTTTCTCTGCAAGTTAGAACATCTTATTCAACATGTTGCTGCCAAATTAGTTATGCCAAAATTAATGCCAATCATAATTATAGAGAATTAACATAACTTATTAATGTTAGTTACAATTGTATTAAGTAAAATGATTAATATTGTTGTTATTGTTGAAATTTAGTATTTAATAATTCTATTGATTTTGTTTATTTGTTGTTGTTGTTTTTGTTGTTGCTGCTATTATTGTTGTTGTTGAGATTTAATATTTAAAGAATCCATGGATTTTGTTGTTGTTATTATTGTTGCTATTGTTGTTGTTGTTGTTGTTTTTTGTTGTTGAGATTTAATCTTTAAGGGTTCTACTGATTTTCTTTTTGTTGTTGTTGTTGATGAGGAAGATTTAGAGTTTGTCAACAAATTTGATGCTTTACAGATTAAAACGAGAAAAAATAGGTCAATTTTTTTGTAAACAGGACTTTACCCCTCGGTTATTGTTAAACTCCGAGGTAAAAAGTAGCACAGTTTTGAAATTCCAAAAAGTACGGTAATTGGGGATCGAACACATGACCATTGCCACTTTACCCCTCGGTTTTTGAATAACCGAGAGGAAAAGTGGCGAGTTTTCATGTCGCCCCTTTGTTACCTCGCTTGTGTTACTGAGATTATATCATTTTCGCGTCTGATGTTACAAGCGCTATTTGTAGTAGTTAAAGTTCTTGTCAATGGCCAGCCTAGCCTGAGTTTCTTACCGGAGAGGAGACCCTGGTAGGGAGATCCTCTCTCACCTTACTTATTCATTTTTTATGCTGATGTTCTTTCAGGTTTATTGAAGCGTGATGTTTACAACAAAAGGATCCATGGCATTCAAGTGGCTAGAAAGGCGTCATTCATCTCACATTTGTTTTTTGCAGATGATTGTCTTCTCTTTGCATGAGTTAATCCTGGTAAAGTTGATCGTGTTATGTCTATTCTAAAGAAGTATGAAGCGGCCTCATAATAAGTGGTGAATTTGGACAAATTGGAGGTGTCTTTTAGCTTCAATATCCAAGAGGTTGACAAGATTTCTATTTGCGTGAGGATGAGGGTGATTGTTGTCACGAGTCATACAAAGTACCTTGGTCTGCATGTGATATTCGGTAGATAAAAAATGGAGGTTTTTGCTATGGTAGTTGAGAGAATTTGGAATAAAATTAAAGGGTGGAAGGAGAGATTTAATTCTCGAGCAGGAAAAGAGGTGTTAATCAAAGTGGTTGGACATGCAATTCCCACTTATATCATGTCTTGTTACAAGTTACCGGAGAGTGTGTGTCATGAACTTGAAGCTATGTTAGCAAGGTTTTTGTGGGGGTCCAAGAATGGAAATAAGAAGGTCTACTAGATGAGTTGGGATAAGTTGTTTAGAGCAAAAGGGGATGGTGGTTTAGGCTTCAGAGGCATTAGTGAGTTCAACACTAGTCTCT